AGTCCCGGTAGCGAACCGTGGTCAACTACGTGGGAATCCAGCGACATAGCCATTACACCAACTGCTGGTCCTAACTTAAGACTTTTTCAAAGCTTCTAATTTCTTTCCACTCGTCTGTTTAGGTAAACACCTGGATCAAGATCACACTATTTGATTTATGGATTTCTTTTTTTTTTTTTAATTTTACTCACTGGGATTATAATTTTCTTTACTTTTATGAATCCTGCTATTGTAAATATTCACATACAATTTTTATGTGAAGACATGTTTTTTAATTCTCTTGGATTTATACCTATCTGGGTCCCAGTGATTTTTTTGTTTAATTTTTTGAGAAAATGCCAACTATTTTTCTGAGGTACAGACTTAAGGTAGCCTCAAAGAGCATTCTCTCCTAGTACTAAAGTAATCCTCTCCCTTTAAATGTGTACAGAAACTATTGACTTGTCTTTGAGCAATAGCATATGGTAAAGGCAATTGGATGTCACTCCCCTGAGTATCCACAAACTGCACCCAACTAGCCAACCAGCCAATCACTCTCTAGTCTCTCTCTCTCTCTCTCTCTCTCTCTCTCTCTCTGTGTGTGTGTCTCTTTCTTCCAAAGCTAGCTTTGAAGCAGCGAGCTGCCATGAGTCAATAGCTACGAGAAAATATATCGTAGCAACAATCTGTGTGACCTTGGAAGAAAATTCTTCTACTGTAGAGACTACAGATGAGAATGCAGTTCAGCATCATCTTGAATGTAGTCCCCTGAGACCCTAAACAGAGGATCTAAGTCACATTCCTGAGCCACAGAAACTGAGATAATAAACGTTCGTCATTTCAAGCTTCTGAATTGGAGTAATTTGTTACCCAACATAGAAAATATAATCAATTTTTAAGTGAATTAAATGATATTTTCCTCTAGAATCTTTTAGGTTTTATATGAATAGATAGATAGATAGATAGATAGATAGATAGATAATAGATAGAAAGATAGATAGATAGATAATAGATAGATAGATAGATAGATAGATAGATAGATAGATAGATAGATAGATAGATAGATAGATAGATAGATAGATAGATAGATAGATAGATAGATAGATAGATAGATAGATAGATAGATAGATAGATAGATAGATAGATAGATAGATAGATAGATAGATAGATAGAGATATACATACATATTACATCCTTTGGTGCCTTCTCCAGTACTCATGTAGATTATTTTATACTATAGTCTTAATAAAGTTGTGATAGTATTCAAATAGTGTTTCTCATGGTGGACATAGCAGGTATCACTCTTCTGTTCTTAATTTCATTTAAAAAATGGCTTTAATATTTCAATATTTGGTATGTTATTATGCTACAGCTAACTGTATATAACTATAACTTCATCAATAATCAGTCTTCATCTTTTATTCCCACTTTCTTTAAGATTTTTGTTGGGAATATTGCTTCTCCTAAATCTTGACAAATTACTATACTCATGTATATAATCACATGAATTTTTCTCTTTATAAAAACAGATTATGCTTATAGATATCCTAATATTGAATATTCATACTTTTTTGTAAACTCTTTTCTTGACATGGCACAAAATAAATTTGATTTGCATCCATCATCGTCTACCTTAAACTCATCAAAATCTAAACAGAGACTAAAATGATGGCTACTTGAGTATGTCTTGCTGATTTCTTTTTCCCCCACCCTCTCTTGTGGATGGAAAAATGATCAAAGCCTGAGGTTGCCAGTTTCTCTAGTATGATAGCAGGCCTCACTGGTCCTACTTCCTCCGGAATGACTCTGTTGGGCTGGGATTGACTGCAGAAAGGCTTTAAGCTGGTCCACAGAAGGTCTTCAATCCTTCCTTTGCCTCCCACTGTTCCACAGACCTTCTCACCTGTCAGATACATTTGCTAAAGTTACAGAAAAGCATAGCCAGCAACATAATTATAATAATATCTTTAAAGATTCTCGGGGAGAAGGATCTGAATCTAGAAAAAAAATTCTGCTGATATTAAACAGAAATTCAAAGAAAACATTTTATAAAAATAACAAATATATAAAAGTAAGTCAGAGACCAAGCAATGTTTTATGGAACTGAGAAATATGTGATTTAAAGCTGTTGTTAACAGATAAACTCAAAAGTATAGAGACATAGCTGAGTACTAGTTTCAGTCTTAAAAATCCAGTAAAAGAGTTCACAACACAGAGCAAATACATAAAAATGTTGACATCCCTAACTCAATGTTCCAAGACTCCTTATCTTATTATCTGTAAAACTGAATCAACTGTGACAAAACACACAATCCCGAAGTATGTCAAACCCAAAGTAAAATTCTTGAGGTAAATTCCATCTTCAGATGCCTAATAAGGTATTTACAAAAAAAGAGACTTGAGCCAAATATCTTACTTTACATTCTCCCTATTTTAGATTCAGAGAAATGACAGCTATCTTTCCCAAAGACTGTCTAAGCACACACAGGACTTTCTACTTTCTCATGTTGTGTGCCAGGCAAAGAAGATACTTTAATATTTTGTGCAACTGAATTGTTAAAGCTGAATTTCCTTTCAAGTAAAAATGTTACTCAAGGGAATGGTCAGCTCTGTGCTGTAAGTGGGGTTACCCATTGTTTTAAAACGCTCTGGCACTCAAAGAAGAGAAAGATAGCAAGTGAACAATAGAGAGGCAGGACGTTAGTGAGAAACAGATATGGCTTATTAACTGTTGATGATGACATGTATAGTATTCTCAACTGGATTGGTCTGAGAAGTATTTCATGATGGGCAAAGTATTTTTACAAGCAAAATGAGAAATAGCAACAGACTGTTTTAAAAAATAATTAGAATAATAATAATAATGATTGGGGAAAACATAAAAAGATATTGAATGTTGAAGCAGAGAGATTAATGTCTCTGTACTGACTGACATGCATGGCATTCCCTTTTGAAAAAGCAATGTAATACACTGTAAAGTTATATGTAATCCAATGTAATATAAAGAAGATTACGATGATAATAAAAAATAAAAATTAAAAAAAAAAGAAGTGGACACTTAAGGCAGAACAGAAGAAATAATCTGCACATACTCGGAATGAACCTCACTGAGGAAGTCGTGATGGATAGTGGCCCCAGGAGTCTGGACAGAATAGCTCACAGTGATCCTGGGAGCCAGTCTCCTTGCTACATCAAAGGTTGTCCCTGCTCTCTCCTGGAAGGCTGTGAAACAATTGGCCAGAGGCACATGAAGACCATGTAGGAAAAACAGAGATGCAGAACAGAAAACTAAGTCTAATAAAAGAAGGAGAAATAAATGAAGGAACCAAGGTTGAACACCACATTTGGCTCTGAGATGTTTGGCAGCCCACACAAAAAGTGAAACATGGTGAATTACTTGATTCTTACTATCAGAGGAGGAAGTGGGTCCAAATTTTTCTTGGCACTTACCTGTATAATATATTTCTCAAATGAGACTTTAACAGAAGGCAATGAACAATGAACATTTCAGCATGCAGCAGTGGCACTTCTGAAGTGCTGCAATCATAGTCTTCACCAAATCTTTGTAGATTCTTTTTTTCTTTTTTCTTTTTGAGAGATTTTTGCTATAGGACATGTGTGCTTGCTGGAGACACAGAGAGAGACAGAAAGTGGGAGAACACCCTCAGGGAGGAATGGCCATGCCCCAGTTCGTTCTCCTCCAGGCTTCTCTAGGGATTTTGGGAACACACACATACACACACACATGCCCAGCATGACTTTCATGCCCAGTGTGACTCGAACTGTGGTTGGCCATGTGGGAATCCAATGACATATTCATTACACCAACCACTGGTCCTATAGATTCTTTTTTCTTGGATTTTTAGAGAAAATTGAATTTACAGTGTTTCCCTTTTCTCTTGGTTTTGGAAATCCAGTTATTGGCTGAATTGTGTTCTCAAATTCACAAACTGAAGTGCTAATCAACCCCCAGTACTTCAGTGACTTTATTTGGATATAGGCCCATGTGAGACATCCAAGAGATAATCAAGTTAAAATGGTTCTATATTACAGTATTTCTCTTTCTGAACACTCTGACTTATATAGTCATGTACTTACAACAGGTCATTAGTGTGGGGCCTAATCCAATATAGGTCGTTAGAGTTGGCTACAATCCACTATGCCAGTGTTCCTACATGAAGGGAAAATATGGATATAGACATATACAGGAGTAAGGTCATGTAAATATGAAGAGATAAAGATGACATTCTTAGAAGCCAAGGCTTGCCAAAGATCTCCAGAAAACCTCCAGGAGTCAGGCAGGAAGGATGGAGCAGAGTCTCCTCACAGCCTTCAGAAGGAATCAAACCTGCCAACAACTTGATCTCTGATTTCTGGTCTCCAGAACTGTTAAATGATATATTTATGCTATTTAAGTCACTGATTGATGGTACTTTGCTATGGTAACCCTAGGAAACTAATAACCAGGTTATCATTTTTTCAGAATGATGGCTCCTCTAAATCATCTTCCCCTGGAGTGAGTACTTACAATGAGGGATGGAATAAAAGATTCAAGTGATCTGATTAAAAATAAAATAATTGAGAGAAGAGTACATTTAAGATAAATTCAATAACAGCCCAAGATGTAGAACATTTCCTCAGTGCCCAACTCACAACGGTGATGGGGTCACATCAGGCCTGATTCTTTTACAAAATGTTCACATTTCTACAATAAAAAGTTCACATGTTTTCTTTGGTCTTGTCCCTACCTTATAAGGGTTTCCTTTTATAACAAGGGCCCAGAGACCAGAAAGAACTGGTCCAGGACCAAATTAAATAAAACTTGAAGTCTCTGTCACTTACCTGATCCCTAATTAGGGGTAAGAAAGCCCTGAACCCAAGCTTTTTCCAGCTCAGGTAATATTACTGTATGGTCCCAGCAACTCTTTTTATGACTTGGCTGAATTTTGCCAACTATTTGCTTGGTGTCACATTTATGAGCTTATTTAAGAATCTTTTGTGCAAACTTTTCGAAGGCTTACTTTATGGACTTGCTCCAGAACTAGAGTCGTGGGGCCCACAGCACAGTGTTTGAGGCCAAAAGGTAAGATTTGTCTTCTGGTTAATTTCTTCTATCTTCTTTTTCCTGCTCCTCCTCCCCCTGCAAAGATGTCTCCTTTTCTCCAGGCATTATGACTCTTCTAAAAAACAAGTTAGATGCTTACTAATAAGCAAAATCATCTTCAGTATCTGCCAGCATTTCCAACTACTCCCTGGGCAAGGATCTGATCTCTCTGAGGAGATTTGAAGTTTTAGAACTTTTTTTTCTCAACATAACATATTACAGGTCTCTGAAGTGTGTATAAAACATTTTAGTGCAACATCTTACAAATAGTTTTTTCTGGAAAAAAAAAAAAACCTCTTTACATCATGCATGTATAGTTTTCTTACCCCATCTCTTTTTTCAACAATTAATGCATTATTTTAAAAGAATATAAAAGCTAGCTACAGTAACACCCTGGTGAAAGAAGTGTGGTGATATCCGTGGCCTAGAATGCAACTAGCACAGTGTAGATTTTCATAAATGCAATATTGTAGATGTAGGTAAGTCAAGAGAGTGTTCAGCAAGTTTCTTCTCCTGAACTGCTTCTGTGCATAATTGCGAGTGTGTGTGTGTGTGTGTGTGCATGTATGTGCATTTCTGAGAGAGAAGTACTTCTCTGGCCACTTATTTATGGAGTCTAAATATCTCAGCCTTATAAGCACCTTATAAAATGTTTGATACAACCTCTACCCCAATGAAAATTTTCTCTACAACATCTCTGTTAGTTGTGATTGAACCCTTCCAATATTAAATGGATCTCTGTCTTTCATGTGGCCCATAACACTCCACATGTTCCTCATTGTTGGAAGCTCTTTCATGTGCCAGCCAGCTACAATTTCTTTCTTGGAACCACCTTACTATACATCTCTCCCTGGCCTTACTATACATCTCTCACTTATACAGGCATGCACTTACACAGACAGAAGGCCAACAAACTCTATGTAATTCAGGTACGAGGAATTCCTCTTTTCTCAGATGCATGGGCCATCCTGGTCAATATACCCTCAATTATAAGTGTAAGATGCATCTGGATTCTTTTTTCTCCTTTCTGCTCTAGATAATGAAGCCTCCTCTTACTGACTTTCCATAAGGGTGAATCAGGCCTGGATTGGGCCAAGCAACTCCCCACCAAGTTACATGGCAATAAATGGCAAAGACAACAAAAAGTTTACCACCTCCATGATAAAAATATAAACATGGCCTGTAGATCCTAGAAGTTCTAGATATGGTGCCCACATTTGAGGTTTCAGAAGATGAAAGTCAAGATCAGC